AGAGTGGCACTCATTAATCAAGCTCGGAACATAGAAGGGCAAGTGAAGCACTTTGGGGCTTGAACTTTGACTATAGATTCTGAGTTCGACGACCTACTGACTGAACAACCAAGGTATGAAGCAATGTGAGGTAAATTCCTTGCTCTGGTAAATTAGTAAATAAAACAAAAATTGTATTCCATTGGAATCGAACTTAGCACCTCCGGCGTTCGAAGCAGACCTCTTAGACAACTGTGCAACTACGCCACATGGGAGAGCACTCGGACAAAAAGAAATCGCTTCTGTAATTCAACTCATCTCAGCTACGGATCCACAACCCGGTACAGCGTATACCTTTTATTTCAAACCCCATTTGTGCGCGGAGTACCCAGCAGTTTCGGTGCAACCAGCTTAATTGGGGTAGCAACTCGATGATTTGCATAAGATGGGGACATTAGGTGGCACGCAACAGCGAGGCAAACTTGCGACGATGCTCTCAGCTGCAATAAGCTTCAACACCCCATATAGTAGACGAAGTAGTATAAGGTACAAAACGAGCCATGACTTAATCAAATTTAATAATTTTAAATATTAAACAATTAAATGTGCATTTAAAAAATAGAAGTAATACGCTTATTCTGGCACGAATTATGATACCAACGCCGCAACCGGAACGGGGAAGACACTGCACAAATTTTTTTATCTACAACCGTGCTTTGATAACCTACTGACAATACAACTGCACACTAAATATAAAAGTAATTCCGACAACTACTGTACATAAAAACGGAAAATTATGAGGAATCATATGTAGATACATTATGTATGAATAGAACCTGACTGGCCCAAAACTGAATACGAAAATATCATTTACTAAATTAAAAGAAACTGGTTCAATTCCCACAGTCTTAGATACTATCGTTACTACAAAATGCCTATACTTCAAAGCGAAAGTTAGATAGCAGATCATATTGCTAGATGGGTGACTAGTCGTGGAGCTACCACAGCCCCTTTACGAATACGGTTCTGTTACATCAGTACATTCAGTTAACCTATCTATTTGTGGATTTACCATATAAACCTGCACACGTAACATACTGGCATTTAAAGCATCCTGTTATACGTATTGATACTGGCAAAATGTGTATGTGGATAACTCATTTTAACCTGAAGCGTTTTACTGACATCTGACAAAAACATAAAAAGTTGCCGCTAAGCTTTTTAATGCCGACGTGCAAAAATCAGTGAACACAACGCATCAACTAGGTAACAGGAGACGAGGTCCGCAAGCAGTAGAACGAAAAGGGTATTCCGCAGCTAAAAGTCGTACATAGACGCAACAGTAAAACAAGCATGCTCTAAGTAGATTCTAAAGTATGTTTTTATTTTCTAAGGCTACTTGGTCAGTACAGTAAAATGGAAAATCTGAAGTTTCCGATATATCGTATTAATGGTGTTGGGAGCACACCAGTTTAAAATCAAAAGGATGAATCATTATTCAATCGCATCGAACCACTACATAAGCGAGCAATGAAAACCTCTAATAAGACTGTAATATGTCGCATAAAAGAGTTTTATTAGATAACAGAGGACACTAAAGTGGTTATTCTGTAGAAAACGATGTCGGGTCTACTTGACATGACCAGAAAGACGTATACGGGTCAAACATAGTGAATAAAAGATAAAGGTAGATCATCAACATGCTTATACCTTCGAAATAAAAGCTACCACAGGGACTGTGGGGTTGCAAGTTAACTGCTAGTTTCGAAACCACCGGCAAGAATAACAATCGGTCCATTAGACCAATACAAGCAGGTTCACAACTAAAACTTGCGAATCCGGAGAACTGATAACACACTGGTATTCGTGTATGTGGCATCGAAAATTAGAAATATAAAAGTAAACCCATAACAACGAGATTAATTTCAATTTTAATTATACCTGCATATGAATCGAAGTATATCCTGTGTTATTCGAACAGGTTATAGCTGATCGATTAACCAAATTGTATGACTTAGCGCTAATTCCCTGCAGGAACTTAAATGTGAGTTTGTTCTGCTAACTGAGATCAACACACTGAGCCGCTTGCATAAAAAGAACTTCTTTGGTGCATGATGTCGCTATATCTGGATCTTAACAACATATCTGCTAGAAAGCACAAGTTATTGCATCGTAAAAAAGAAATGCTCTTCTATGCCTCTTTCTTAGTCCTAGATGTTGCCTGCTAGCTTCCAAGCCGATATTTGACCTGTTTAAGCATGAACAGCTTGGAGAAAATAGTGCATGCTCAACTAACAGGACCAACCTCTGTTTCTCGATCTCCACTTTTACTGAGGTTATCTATGCCGGGAGGAGAAAAGAATTCCTTAGACGAAAATACCATTTAAACCTCATTAGGCATCGCAGCCCACGCTGTTGTACGCAGTTCAACGACTGCACTTATACCATCGTACAGCAGCACTGAAAATACAGGCAGATTTTAAAGGCAAGAGAAACTCACATATTGGACAACTTTCACAGACCACACACTGGACAAGTTACAAAAGGAATTCGTTCGAGGCTAGCACGATTCTTTTATTTAAGTCCAGTAGCATAGTGCCATCGATGGATATAGAACCAGGCTACGTAAAATGGTAATCCACTAGAAGTTGAACTGTTCAACTTGTCAATCAGCTGCGAAGGATGGGTTCTATATAAAATTCTACTTCCGGGGGTTAAGGAGAAGGAGGGCTTTCGAAAATATTAAATGATCGATTGCCTCGCTCAGCCTTTCCAGGAAAAAAGTTTCCATGGAATTGGAAGTGGTGCGATACCATGATAATTGGAACACTCGGTAGCCCGACCCACTTTAAACATAAGGACAATAAACCCACGTTTCCATTCACCTAGAAAACCTTTGTAGATCAGCATTTGATAAAACAGTGCAGAGGGCTTTCCTACTAATCCCGTTTGTCCATACTCAATCAACTGTCAAAGAACGCAATTCACAAAGCGTGCCTTCTTCACCTTGAGGAGCAAAGAATTTTGGATTTCTAGTTTTGTGGCTATATTTCTAATAACCTACAGTGTTCCCAGTCAATTAACGGTCGGAAACGATGAATATGGATGGCAGCTGTTGAGTAGCTATTGGAATGGCCGTACCCGCTATCTGTCGAAGCATCCCATTTGACCTGATAATGGGACTTCCTAGGCATCTTGGAATAAAACACTGATTCCCCCCGGATACCAGACAACTGTCGCATACCTTTTAGCACAGCTCGCTACACATCCTCCTTGAGTGCCTTGTCAATCTTCCTGATTTTCCCTCTAGCAAAAAATTCCGTATACCTGTAGCTGTGGTTGTTTACAAGAACAAGTCGACAATGACCTATGTTAGAAGGTGCAATAGGTGTTGCAAGGAGTCATTTTCTGACCCATCCATTTGCATTATAAGGGCTAGGATGTTCTCCGTAACTCATTAGTGCTTGACAGTTCTCTTCCTGGCCATAACTACGATTGTCGTCGAGGAAATGACGGCATTTGAAGTTATTTTAAGTGTCATCGAGGTTGTCACATTCTCGCTGGATACTAAGGGTGGCATTAAAATAACTCCTACTTCTTCTTGGTAGAAGGACAGCACCGATTCGTCGTATTTTAATTTGTCAACATCGAACAGGTGATGTGTTTCAATCAAACGACGTCGATGAAACACCGCTAGGTGTTCAGACCCAATGCAGGTGCCACACCTGACAGGAGTCTTGAGTAATGAGCAGCGTTATTTACAGGTGTTAAGGACGTGGTCTAGATGGGTATTTAGGTTTCAGTCAGGAGACTTCCACGAGGTTTGGTGAACATGGTTACGAGGAAGAGGGATCCCGCCAATAATTAAGCCGTTAACGGTTGCGCAAAAAACTTAAACACCTCCCGCTGTAGTCAATACCGTGACGCGGAATACCAGGTCATGTAATGTCCACGGTGCCTACATTCTCGCTGAGATCGCCTGTGACAACTGTGACGTAGTGAAGTGCCAAAGCGCTAATAGCTATTTGAAAACAGTTAGAGAAAGCGTCTCTGTCTTGTCATTTGGCACATTAGTCAGGGTATAGACGACAATCACATTCAGCGTCGTTTGTTTGACATTTACGAGAGAGACCAGGATTCTCTCTGAAACCTGTTTCAAAGAAACGACCGTCCGGCTTACCCCAAAAGAAAATAGAATAGCCACACCGGAAAGACGTAATTCAATTTCGCCTGACAACTCATCCTGCAGGATGAAGCGCCCCTTCCCCCAAAGCCAAGCTTCCGTGACCGCCAGTACATCGAGTTTCTACCAATAGGCCGTACAGCAGAGAGCATCAAACTTACTTTCGCCGGATAAGGAACGAACGTCCCAACACGCAACACAACCTAATTCTTGTCGTGTTTACTGCCGGAAGCAGGGATATC